ACCACGCCCAAGGCCTCTGGCTACTGTGCGTTCCTACCCAATAATGGTGGGATATTTCGTATGCCTAGGCCAAGCCTGTCCAGCCCAAAGCCCTTGGGTGTCATGCAACCTAGGAGAGCTTTGAATGTGACCCAACACAAATTTGTAAACATTCTTAAAACATCATGAGTTGTTTTTGCCATTTTTGTTTGTTTGTGTGTTTTTAGCTCATGAGCTGTTGTTAGTGTGAGTGTATTCTATGTGTGGCCCAAGACAATTCTTCCAATGTGGCCCAGGGAAGCCAAAAGCCTGGACCCCCTGGTAGACAATGTAAATCAAAGAAAATGACCAAGGCGAGTCAATCATTTAAGTAGTTTACATGCTAAGCTTAAGGACGCACCCGGGAAAAAGAACACAGAACCACAGGAAAAGGCTGTGGCTTATGCTAGTCCCCTGAAGAAGGTCTGGGGACCTTAATAATTAAAGGGAAATGAGTGGGTCCTGGGGGAAAAAGGAAGAGAAAAAAAGAAGAGGGTCAATAAGAGGGGAGTAGCTGCATTATTTTGAGTCGGTAGTCAGCATTCACTGACCACACATTTTACAAGTGGGGTGGGTAGAGGAACAGTCGCTTAGCATTCGTCCTGCTCAGTGGAACTTCATTTTTACATACGATGAAATAAACGTAGGACAGAGGGTGCATCAGCTATGCATTTGCCTCAGGTAAGCGCAGGATGACTGAGTTCTCTCCTTTGTCTTGTGTCTGTGAAGAAGAGCTATCAGCTTACATTGTCGGGGTGAAATTCAGCAGAACCGTTCTGGGGTAAAGACCTTGGAGCCCTCAGGAATTTCCTTGTGAGGGAGGTCTGCATGTGGCTTTTTCATCTTCACAGCCACCGCATGTAGGAGTGAATTGGGAGGCAGGTTTGCCTGACGCGGTTCCCAGCTTGACTTTTCCCTTTAGATCACTGGGCTTGGGGTCCTGAGATTCATTTTTCTTTCACAACAACTCACTTCTAAATTTGGAAGTCACTGTGCTAAGCCATGTGAAACAACAGCTGTGTGTATGAATTTTACATTTACACCAAGATGGCATATAGGTTTTTACACAATTACAGCTTGACTACGGGGGGACTATTCACAGTGAAAAAGTGAAGGGAACCATATTTGCACAAGAGACACAGAAAAACACGCGTGGTGTACGGTGAATCTCCAGGAATTCCAAGTAAGGCAGGAAGATGCTTTTGTAATTAATCTTTGAAACCCTAAACATATATGTCTTTTTCTATAAAAGTGTTCTTTCTATCTTTGCACACAAAAAAGGCAAACAGCAGCATCGCCTATTCATTGGCTGATGTTTTCTTTGGTTCTCTTCCTTGGTGAAAACTGCTTTTACAGCATCTGGGGCAAGGTCACTTAAGAAGGGCCCCTCTCCCTGACTCCAAAATATTTTCTCCTGTTTCAGTTCAATGACAACTGAAATTCCTGGTGTTGGGCCACGTGGTTTAACACCTCAGCTGCTTCCCGGGTCAAACAGAAAGTGGCTCTGGCGCTGTCTGTCCTTTAAGCCGTGAATGTGCCCAAAAGGTAAAATGTGAAGAAGGAGACTCTCTGTTATTTTTACAGAGCCTGTCTTGGAAGGAAGAAAGCACCAAAACTAGGAGCTGCAGGCTAAGGAGGCTGCTGGTCCCTGCGAGCCACTCCCTCCTGCTGGACCCTATAGTCTGTCAGTCTTAGGAAAACCAGTGGGCCCTCATCTAGGGATCAGGAATCCTGCAGTGATGGAATACATTGTTTTTAGCTGACTTTCCTGCCATGGACCCATACACCCAGGAATATCAACAAGGTATGGAAAAGGGGGGCCTTTGCCCCTTCCCACGCCAATTCCAGGAGAATTGGGTGGCTCCTGCTCATTAGAATGCTGTCTGTGCTCTAATGAGATTGACTGGCGTTCTCGCCCGTGAAGAGGGAAGAGCTGTGCAGGACCCGACGTGTCTGTCTGTCGGCTGCATGATGAAGATGCCCTGTGTTTTTCCTTTTTGCAGGTGCATATGCAGCTGGGGTAAATGATGGCTCAGTACTGAATGGTGGGTGGTATCTTCCTTCCAGACGAGGACTCCGACCTTAGGAGTTTCCAGCAGGTGGCATTTCACAGTAACAGAGTCTGACCACACAAAAGGCACATTCATCTCCATTGCCTGCTCTTGTAGCCTGTGATGAGGTAACAACTCTGTTGACTCTTCAGGACCCCAGAGTTCACGTCCTCTGAGCTTGGCACTGTTATTCACCAGTTTCAGTGAAGATTCTGGGCAGGGCTTTCTCCTACCAACGGAAACAGGGACAAGGACCTCCACTGTCTGGGCGTGCGTTCCCACCTCCCTTCCTGGACACTGGCTTCGTGGAATAGCTCAGGTGTGCCCTGGTTTCCTTCTGGCAGCTTTTACATGGAGGTCTGTCCGCACTGTCCTGGGATGCCCAGTGAGGGACTTTATATACCAGACCCATTGACAAAAGAGCCCCTTCGGTGTCTTCAGGGTCTTCAACTTTCAGGTGGCTCTAAGGGCCCAACCCTCTCTCTGTGGCCCCATCCTTGGCAATGACCCTCCCACGGCCACACCTGAAACACAGGCTCCCACCTGAGAAAGCATTTGGCAGTGCAAGGCGAAGATCATGACGTTACTGATATCATCAGAAAGGTTTTTTGTAGTTTACATATTATTGGCAAAATTACACTTTTATCCACTTCAGAGACAATCGGGACTCAACAGTGTGACTTCCCAGTGAGGTTGAAAACCCTGGCTCCAAATAAACTTCTTCACTATTTTGAGGGAACGTTAAATAACTTCTTTTCGGATAACGCTTGTCAGCCCTGAGAGCTCTTTTAATTGGGTTGTTCCATCTAGGATCAGGGTTAATGCTGGGTTGGTGAAATTGACAGGTGTCCCAGCTTCTGCCCCAAATACGTGGCAAATATTGTTAAATAATTCATAATTTCACATTATTTTTTGTTGTAATATATTTGTATATTTGTATAGTGCATGTATATTACACACTCCTTTGCCTTTTTAATCTGAGTACGGTGAACCTAATTTAATCTTCTCTAGATAATGTAAGTCATTGACTATAAGCTTTGGCTAATACGAACGGATACCTTCAGGGCCGAGCCAGGACCCAGCCTCTGCAGTCAAGTGCTCCAGACCACTGTGGTTTTATACGTTATTTGCAGCTTTCGTTAATTTTGTTACACAAGTAGTCATTCTTGTCTGGTGTATTATAGGCTAGAAGCCCAAATATCCAAAGCCGTATTTTATATTATACAAATATCTGTGTGTATAAATATATATATATGATGTAAACTGGGACGACGGAATTTTAATAACCATGATGGATTGACCAATTCCGTATGTTCCTTGTCAAAGAAACAGCAACACTGGAGAGCTGTGTGTTCACAGTTGATGCTGCTTTATTCACAAATCTTTGAGAACCGTCACCCCAGCCTGTACCTCCAAGGCAAACCACACTGAGCAGCGGCCTGCAGGCCTGGGAGCAAGGCTACAGGAGGCAGGTGTCTCCTTCCTTCCCTGACCAGGCCGCCCAACATCAACGCGGGAGAAAAAGGTGGGTGGGCAAGCTAGAAAGTCCCTCCTTCCTCCTTCCTTTCTTCTACCTTTCTTCCTTCCTTCCTCCTTCCTTTCTCCTTCCTTCTTTCCTTTTTTCCTCCTTCCTTCCTTTCTCCTTCGTTCTTTCCTTCCTTCCTCCTTCCTCCTTCCTTCATTCCACCTTCCTTCCCTCCCTCCCCCCTCCATTTCTCCCTTCCTTCCTTCCCTCCCTCCATTCCCTCCTTTCCTCCCTCCTTCTTTTTTCCCTCTCTCCTCTTCCTTCTTCCTTTTTCCTTCCTCCTCCTCTCCTTCCTTCCCTTCCTCCTTCCTTCCCTCCCTCCTTCTTTCCTTCTCTACTTCCTCGTTTTCTCCTCTTTCCTTCCTGCATTTCCTCCTTCCCTCCCTCCTTTCTTGTAAACCTTCACTGAAAGTACAGAATCTGTCAAAATTTACTTCTTTTACATCAATCAGAAACGTTAAACACTGTGGAACTTCCACCAGGTAAGTTATGTGTGTCATCATGTGATCATTTATGCACGAACAAGACAAATCAAAATTGCCTTAACTTGAAAGTTTAGATGACCACATTGTCACAGGACTTAGAAGTATTCACATTTTTACCAAGAGGCTTTTACATTTTCTACCCTTTCTCTAGATCTTAATGAAACATCACGCTTCATCGTCAGTTATGACTTTGTTAACAATTATTCTGCTTTCCTTCTTCAAAATGCATAATTCAGATCTGCATTTTATCTTTTAAAATGTAAGGTAAAATCTCAACATTATTATTCTTACTAAATAGGTTTTAGAAACGTAAGTTGTTCTTTCCAGCTCTCTTTCTCACTAAAACCACTATTTGAGTGATCCAACCATTCCCGTGGGTTGTGCACTGAAACCCCTCCAGTGGGCCTGGCGGGTCAGGTGGGTTCTTGGGGAACCACGGTAGGTGTCTGGACTTCTGAAATTTATCAGGCAAATAGAACGCCTACTAATTTTATGACATCATTGTTTCACGCCTCTTGTAACATACTCAAACGCATTTAACTAAATGAAAGTCGACATTTCCTGTTTTGTTCTTAATCATGCTCACTTTTTAGGCCAACAGACGTGGGTGGACAGGGACTCAGCCCTCGAAATTATGATGGAGTATTTGCAAACAGTTTTGACTGTTATTAACACAATGCAGTAGAAGGATACACTCTGAAGAACAGAGTAAAGGGATTCCCGGGACGAGATAGATTTATTCTAGTAAAGGGAGCAGAGATGGGTGTGTTGGTGAAGAGACGGGCTGTCCAGTGAGACTGCACAGAGGGCGGGTGGACAGGCAGGACGGCCGGTGGCACCAAGTGCACTCTTTAATCAGGAAAATCTACCAGGTTATAATCTTGGACACGCCTCTGACCTTTCTCGATGATCCATTTTTAGAAAAGAAAACCTCATTTGATGGCGGAAGATGAACCTCCAGGGGCCCTCTCAAAGCCACTGGTTTTTCGCGTTGACGAGACCACCCCGGGCATGGTGCAAAGCGTCCTCCTGGAGTGACAGTGGAATAAGTTCAATGAGCAGGAGCAGAACGTGGAGGACTGGAACCTGTACTGGAGGACATCCTCTTTCCGAATGACCGAACACATCAGCGTTAAACCGTGGCTGCAGCTCAACCACCACCCCGGAACAACCAAGCTGACCAGGAAAGACTCTCTGGCCAAACACCTGAAGCACATGAGGAGGACGTACGGCACTTCCCTGTACCAGTTCATACCCCTGAGGTTCGTCATGCCCAGCGACTACATCAAGTTCATAGCTGAATACTTTCAGGAGAGGCAGACACCAGGCGCCAAGCACAGCTATTGGATTTGCAAGCCTGCCGAGTTATCTCATGGGAGGGGGATACTCATTTTCAGTGACTTTAAAGACTTCATCTTTGATGATACGTACATAGTGCAGAAATACATCTCCAACCCTTTACTTATTGGCAGATATAAAAGTGATCTCCGCATCTATGTTTGTGTCACCGGCTTTAAGCCTTTGAACATTTACGTGTATCGGGAAGGGTTGGTTCAGTTCGCCACAGAAAAGTTCGACCTCAGTAACTTGCAAAACGATTACGCCCATTTGACCAACAGCAGCATCAATAGATCCGGGGCCTCCTATGGGAAGATCAAAGAAGGGGTTGGCCATGGTTGTAAGTGGACCCTCAGCAGATTTTTCTCCTACCTTCGTAGCTGGGA